CTTCAATGGTTTTGGAGCTTATGGACTTATACCTGCAGTTATTAGTTGGGTAAACTAGGTTGTAAAGTAGGTATCATATGGTTATAAATTGAAAACTTTGGGCAAATGATTTCTAAATTTTGTGCCACATACAAATTAAATAGCGCAACTTGAGAACTTACAACCAGAACTTGGGGAAACGTAGTAAGTTAACGTGTAATTAATTTTAAGTTTTTTGTAAGTTTTGCTAAGTTCTGCACGAGGACATGGTCAGAACAAGGACTTTTTCTCCGCCGTCGCCCCGCGCTGGTTCAACCATGGTGTGGCTCGCCCACCTGCACGTGGCTCGCCCGTGTAGATTTTCATCATGGACCGTGATCGGGACCGCGGTGGCAATTGGCACCATGAGCGGGGTGGAGGGGACTGGGGTGGAGGCACTCGCCCCAACGACCGGGGTGGAGGCACTCGCCCCAACGACCGCGGTGGAGGCGCTCGCCCCAACGAAGCTCACATGGGTCCGTTGCGGCTCCCGGGCGGTCAAGGTACCCTGACCGCCCGGGACCGAGATGATATTTGGGAGAGGTACCGGGTGTCGGCAAGCGTGAGATGGCGCGCCCAATGGGCGGAACGGTGTTTGAGCCTATCTGGCGACGCCGGGTCTTTGAATGCTGCAAAAGACATGGCAATGGAGAGGATTGCGCAGCGTGGAACGGAAGGAGGCCGCGCTTCTGAGCCGACTGCAGGTCCCCAGCTGCAGGCCTTGCAAACCCAGGTCCATCAATTGGACCAATATGTCAGGAACCACCATAGCTTGCTGCAGCACCTCACCCAGCAAGCGACTCGGGCTGAGCAGACGGCTGGCCAAGCTGTTGCAGCAGCACAGGCCTATCGCCAAGCGGGCCAGGATTCTCTGGAACGCATCAGCCAGAGAAATACGGAGGCCCGCGAAGAATTTGAAGCTGGCATTGAAGAAAGGGTGCAGCAGATAGTGCGACAAGTGCTGGAAGATAGGAAGAAAAAAAGGAGGAAAAAACGACGCACCAAGCGAAGCGAATCCGCAGAGGATGAGAAAGAAGCAGAGCGAGAGAAACAAGATGAGCAAAAGCAAGATGGAGAAGGCTCGCCTCTCCATGACACAAGCTTCGCCAAAGCAGAGCGCATGTCCAGCACATCGCCTGCCGGAAGAGATGCTTCGCTTCATTCATGTTGCTGATTTTTTTGTTGTACATATAGGTGGGCGAGCCTCACGTCATATATATATATATATTATATAACTGACGAGCCTCATGTAGAAATGGTAAGAGTTGCTGAATTTTTGTTCACTTTCCCATGTGCGTTCGCTCAGGATGATTTGGTGGCCGCTGTTGGTGAACCGGCGGGCTTTCCAGAGGCAATCGCAGCGGAACAAAAGATGGCACAACAAGGAGAAGAAGAAGAAGAAGAAGATACGTCAGAGCAATCTCCCGAGGTCTTTGCAGCCCCGGCTCATGACTATATGGAACCCATCGAAGAGCCAGAGACTCCCTGCCTCACTGTGGATGACATGACTGAAACAATGCGCCTATCAGCGAATGTGAAGGAGCTGCCAAATGATGATGATGCAAAAGAAGAACAGCCAGGGTCAGGATGAGGCTCGTCCCATCCAGCATAAACCCCACTACTGAAGCGTATGGGAAAAATGTGGCTGCGTTACTCTGCGTTGCTGTAGCGTCTTCGAGCGTCACTCTTGAGAATCGTGAAGAGTTGTTCAGAATTGTTTCAAATCAGAAGGGTGGTTTCAAAACAGAATTGTTTATAATTGTTTCACATCTGGAGAATCGAATCTCGATCCGCAGCCTTTTCAGCTTCAAGTGGGATGGCTCACCTCCCTTTGAAGCGCAGAGCAGGGGCTCATCAAGGCAGCAAAACTGGACATGCGGGAAGGCTCGACCTCCCATCCATGCATCCCTTGAAGAAAGACAAGCATGTCGAAAAGCAGGTGTGCCGGAAGCTCCCCCAAAACCTTTCATTTCAGGACCATGTGGCCACTCTAGGCGATCCTTCTCTAGACGCTGGTCATCAACGAAAAAAACTACGAAGGGAGCTGGCCAGCGACTTGGTCCATGAAGGTCTTTGCGGCCCCATCATGAGGACTTTTACCCTCCAGCTTGATGGAGAGGATTGGGAATGGACTTATTTGTGTCCAGTAGCGTTGCTCAACAAGCTCTGCGCCCTGCAGCCCCGCCTTGGGGACCTGATTCAAAACACGCCATCAGTGGCCTGTTACATGGACGAAGTAAAGCCTGGGAACGTGTTAAGGCCAGACCCAGCTAGGACCGTAGCGTGCTTCTATTGGACTTTGAAGAACCTTCCACCTTGGTATCATGCCAGACAGGAAGGGTGGTTCTTTTTCAGCTGCTTCCCAACAAAGTTCTTGGACAAGCTTCAGGGAGGATATTCATTCCTCTTTGGTAAAATGCTTGAAGCATTCTTTCATGGCGAAGTTTGGAACTTTGAGCGGGGTTTTCCCTGCCAATCTTCACAAGGCACCTTTGTGTTCAAGGCCCCCTTCAGCACCCTCCTGTCTGACGAGAAGTCTATCAAGGAGATGTGGGGTCTGCGTGGTGCATCAGGCACAAAACCATGCTTTCGCTGCATGAATGTGGTTGGCCATATGACCGCCCAACAGGTTGCGGCAGCCAACGTCGGCTGGCTTGTGCACTTCCGTTGCGCAGATCAATCCAAATTTGCGCCGCGCACTCCAGCATCATTCCAAGAAATGAGGGACAAGCTGCGGCTGGTCCGCGGTAACAAGAAGGAGTGTCAGAGGCTTGGCCAGCTGTATGGTCTACACTACACTCCTTTTTCCGTTCTTTGGCACCCCACGCTTGGCACCAAGGTGTGCCCAATCAAGAACACAATGTTTGATTGGATGCACGTCCTGGTGGCTTCTGGCGGGGTGGCGCAGTATGAGGTCAACGAGTTTGCCAAGCAAATTAGGGATGCTGGGATTCCTCTGTCAGCTCTCGACACTTTTGGGAAAGTGGTGCGGGTGCCCAAATCTCGAGGCAATCTTCCAAGCAAGTTTTGGCAGGATCGAGTGAATATGGAGGCCAACTGTCACATCAAGGCCTTCGCCGGGGAAGTCTTGGTGGCTGTGCCATCTTTGAATCTTTTTGCTAGCTCAGTTTTGCAGCCGCTTGGCCTACTCCCAGACCATTGTCTTTGCTTGCAGTATTTGAACGACATCTTAGACATCTTAACCCAACAGCACAGGGCCTTGAAATTCATTGGTGAGCTTGAAGAAGCCATCGGCAAGCACGCAGTCTTGTTTCGACGGCTCTATGATGATTGCGCCAAGCCAAAATTTCATTGGCTGTTTCATATTCCACAGAATTTTGTGGAGTTTGAGGCCAACTTGTCATGCTTTGGCCCCGAGAGGAAACATCGAGCCACGAAGACAGTGGCTGCGCATGTCTTCAACGACCATCTCTGCGATCATGTGGCCCTGAGATTGGGCCATGAACTCCTCTACGAGTTCGAGCACAAACCCAACTTGGTGGAGCCAATTTTCTTGAAAGAGCCTTTTCGAGCACTTCCATCAGGGCCCAAGCTTTTAGAGTTTTGGAGATCTGATGTGATGCAAGTGCGCACATCCAAACAACTGATGTGCCCTGCTGGTCAAGTCTCGCTGGGAGATGTCTTGTTTGGCGAGCACTTGCGTAGCCTGGTCGTTCCACGAGCTTTTCTCCAAGCTTGTTTGATGACTGGGGAGTCCATTTTCTTGGCGCAAGTTTCTTTGCACAAATGGAAGGCAGGGTCCATCTTCGAGTCTGTCTCCGAAGAGCATCTGCTGGAGTGGCACGATGATCTGAGACCCATCATATACTCCACCAAGTCATGTGGCTCTCTTCAGGCTTGCCTGAGGCCAGCTGAAGCCCTGAGGCTCGCCCAGGGAACTTTGCAGTAGATTTGGCTTGCTGAGGCTGTGGCAAAACAGGGGGGCGCGGCAGGACAGTTCTAATTTGATTGTAGTTCCAAGTCATGTCAAATAAGGTTCCTTTTCTCAAGCATGAGACTTTCCCCCTTTAACCCGCGATCAGGGATCAAGCTTTTGATTGGGAAGGCTCGCCTTCTGTTGACAGGACTCGGAGCCCTTTGCAAAGCATGTCTAGCGAGTCTGTGCCATCCACACCACTCAGTGCTGCAACGCCGACTCTTCATGAGTCGGCTGGGGATGCAAGCCTGCTGACTGAGGAAGAGATGGCATCTTCTCGCTGCTGCACATGCCACAAGCCCATCGATCTGACTAACAGTTTGGTGATAGTGCGTTCATCCTTGAAAGCGCCAGAAGTGAGACGCTGCAAGAGTTGCCACTCAGTCCGTGCTGCCATTGAACGGCTGAAAAAGAATCATGGGAACTTGGTCAAGGATTGGTCCAAAATCACAGGCGACAAGGTCTCCGCCTTTTTCCAGGACTACCCACATCTCCGTGGAGATGAGCTCCGCCAAAAGATTGAGGAGATTGCGCAAGACTGGAAGACTGAGACGACCCGATATGAATTCAACTCCCAGGCTGATTTCATGGATGAAACTGACTTGAAAAAGAAATACCACGACAAACCAGAGATACTGGAGAACATTCTCAGGAATGGTCGGCAGTTTTTCTGCCCTGTCAAGAAGATCATGCTCTATGGCGATCCTAAATACGATGCAAAGGTCAGCGACCAAACGGAGTATGGCCACACTGAGAAGCGCAAGGCCCAAACAATGTTGCGTGACAACATCGAGCCCGAAAATAAGAAGGGTCGCAGGAACAAAAAGGACGACAACAAAGAGGAAGAACAGAAGCTGAAAGCTGGTGAGAAGAAAAAGATTGCAAAGAAAGCGGAAGCTCTTGGCAGCAAGGTTCTCCAGCTCAAGGACTTGCTGGGCAAATGCAGTGAGTATGGGAATATGATCCCACCGTATGTGGTCAACGCAGGTGAGACAGGAATCACCAAGGCCCAGCAGACCATGACAGAGACACAAGCTCTGCTCGATGCTGGCAAGGGTGATGGCGCTGCAGCCCTGGAAAAACTCGATGAAACATCAACCCATTTGGCCGATTGCTGCAGCCGGGTGAAGTCCCAGCTGGAGCAAGCAGCACACTTTAAGTGATGAGGCTCGCCCATCATCAAGCTGAGGTCATCCCAGCTCATTTGTGATTGCGATCACAATTCACGACTGGGAGTTTTGTGGGGAGAGTGAAAAAAAGGGGGGCGTGTCAGGGGCGTGTCAGGGGCGTGTCAGGGGCGTGTCAGGGGATATACCAGGGATACCATTGATACCCGCAAAATCCCCGGCACTTTTTGAATTGTTCCGAGATTGATTTCATTTCCACGAAGAGCCACCTAACATGTTTTTTCTGATTGGCTTAACACTTGATTTCACATATTTCAACTATTGATTTCAGTTGATTTCAACTATTTCCAAGAAGAACCACCTAACATGTTTTTCAAATTGGCTTCAAACCATTTTTCATATAAGCCACGCTACTTGGGGCTATGCTGATCCTACCTCATTACATTCTTTGGTTGGGTCTATTCAACTTTAAATATGGATTGCAAATGTTCGCTGCCTTTCACTTAAGAGAAACCTATACGGGGCTCGCAAGGCTCGCCTGCAACAACAGGCGATCGTTTGCCTCTAAGCAATGGCTGAGACATCAGGGCGTCGAAAGGCTGATGGAGATCTTGATACCACCAGGCTTTTGAAAAAAGAACCCTCATATTGGGGGAGGAGCCTTCGACCTCGTCTGAGGAGGAGCCTGATGAGCGTGAGGAGCCAAAAACCACTGAAAAGAAGGAGACCCAGCTCGAGGCCAACCTTGATGGTATGTGCGCGGCTGAAAGCCAGGCTGAGAGCCCCTGAGGCATGGGATTCATTTCCCTTTAATTCACGGGGTCACAAAACAAGTTGCTGGCTGTGTGTTGATAAGCGCATGGTCGCTTTTGCAACTATAGTCTTTGAGAGTTGAAAGCTTTGCGATGAAAAACGGTGATAAGGAGGCTCGAAGGTGGCCATGGGATATGTGTAGGATTTGGAGAGTTCATGAAGTTATTGAATGAAACAATTGCTTACTCATTGTTCTCAATCGAACTTTCTGGGGGATTGGGGAGTTTGAGCCCTTGAGATTGACTTATTCTTCATCGAAGAAAACATATTTAAAATTTGGGGGAGCCCACCGACCTATCTATGAATATCATCATGGGGTGAGCCTCCATGATTGTAAAACCCAAGAATAGCACATCATGGGGCGAGCCTCCATGATTGTAAAACGCAAGAATATCACATCATGGGGCGAGCCTCCATGGTGGTTTACCCAAAAATGAATCACCAAACAAACAAACAAACATTACAGTTTTCTTTCTGCAAAGCCAAAGCGGGTGCCATGATGCCAGAACATTGGCACACAACCAATCAAGCAACCAGTGAAGCCACCCAACAATCAAGCCAAACAGAACAAATCCTTCTCAATGACATTTTGGCAACAAGGAGGCTCGCCCCTTGATAAACCACCAGGGTACACGACGCACAAAATTTGTGTTCACTCAACGTGTTTTCCTTTCAAGCTGGTTGGCGCTTCTTGAGGCTCGCCCATGCAAGTCAGCAGCACTATGGCTGACCAAATGTGTGTGAATTGGTGGCATGGGTCAGGGCTCTTCCCTGACATTGCCAGGTTCAACCGGCCCTTGAACGTGACGATGCCCTGCGTGGGCATAGATGGATGTGGAGTGGCCATGCAACACATGGCAGTCAGATTCAAGCCGACCAATGTATATGACTTGGAGCACCGCTATGAGGGCTACTTGCAGCACCACTTTGGCGATGTCCCTTTGCATTTGGGAAAGGACAACGGAGATATCAACAAGCTGAAGATGGAAAATGTGGAGAGACCCGTTGACCTTCTGGTATCGGGTCCCCCCCTGCCCACCATGGGCAGGGCAGGGGAAACACCATGGTCAAAGTGACATTCGAGCTGAAGTATTCTTGACGGTTGTACGCTTGATGATTTCTTTGATCAAATCTGGAGATCTCTTCGCCGCAGTCATCGAGAATGTGAAGGGCATTTGCCAGAAGATTAAAGGACTGGAGGTATCTTTCATGGATCAGCTGCTGGAGGCTCTCAACAAAGAAGCCGATGAATTCAGTTGGGACACTGTGATTTTGCACGCCAAAGACTACATGTTGGCTCAGACACGCACTCGTGTATTCCTGCGGGGAGTCCGCAAAACAACGTTTCCTCGTGGAGTCCCACCGCCGCTCCCTGGTTTTGGCGAGAAAGGTTTGCGAGAGTTTCTGTGCCCTGGTCTTCCAGCTGTGGACAGGTCTTCTTTGACCAAGGTCATGAGGCAGAACCTGATGGACGCTGAAAAAAAGCTCCAGCAAGCCGTCGCTGACGGTGAATACGGCAAATCTGATTTGATCGTCTTCCCGCTGGACAGGGCCGATGGAAAAGCCTACAAGCGCAGCTACAGTGTCAACATGGCGCCAACTCTGACCACGAACAACACCTATTTGTTTGTGACGAGCCTGGATTTTAAGAAGCGTGACGGCCAGAGGGAGTTTTTCAGGTTTCTCCAACCTGGTGAAAGGATGAACCTTCAAGGATTCGCAGGATCCACCTTGGTTGAAAGCTCCGAGGCACTGAGGGTAAAGGCCAGTGGAAACGCCTACCCTGTGCCCTTGATGATTGCAGTTCTGCACCCGATCCTCCAGGAACTGCAGCCTCACATCACAGGCCAGCTCAAGGTGAAAGGCAGTCTCTTGGATGAGTCAGCCACCAAAGCTTGCGCGAACTTTGACAAGTTCATGGCCACTTGTTCCGCAGCAGCTGCCAAAGCCGCCAAGGGAAGAGCAAAACAGCAGAAGAAAAAGGGTGGCGCTAAGGCTTTTCGACCGAAAGCCAAACCGCTGGCCAAGCGCAAAGCCAAAGCGAAGGCGCAAGCAAAGCAGAAGGGAGCGAGGGGAGGTAAGGTGAAAAAGACCATCAAGAAGGTGCAACGAAAGTCCACCGGCTACTACAAGTACCGGTTTTTGTCGTCCTCTAGCTCCTGATTCGAATGGAGGACCATGATGGACCATGCACTTGGTGTAGGCTCGCCGCACCAGTTTTGATTCGGTCCGACGCTGGACTTCCGACGTCCGAGAGGAAAAAAGGTGAATTTCTTAGCCATCACCCTGATAGCACCGTGTGTTTTCTGGTTGGCCATAGCTTCACTGATTCTAAACGATTTTTTGGAAAGCGATTTTGGGATACCGTCTCAGCAAACGATATTTCTTTGCGACGCTGTCTCATTGTGGCTCAACTATATGTGGGAAGTCTCAAGGCTCGCCTGGCTTCCATTCCCAAGAGGTAAATCCCTTGGCTTGTCCGACAAGATTCGCCATGGCGGCCCAACGGTTGAAAGACATGTTGGGATTTCTCACGGCTCTGGAGAAGTCTGGTTTCAATCCAGCTGCTCATGATGGAGTCAAAGACACCCAGCAAAAAATGTTGCATGGGTGTTTGTTGGACCTGCAGCAAGCCCCGAGCATCGCAATTCAGGAAGCCACACAGATGCTACAAGATGTGCAGTCTGCCAGCATTCCTGATTGGATGAAGGAGGAGATCATCAAAGGCGGGCAGGAAAAGGTTTCAAGCACCGCTGAAGAACAGAAAGGCGGGGCCAAGCGTGGAAAAACCTGACGCAGAAACACTTGCACCTCCAGAACTATATGACTGAGAGCGATTGGAAGACCTTGCGAAGCAGCTCGCACAGCCTTTCTACTAAGGTGCAATGTCTTTGCAGGAGGTTTGGCTTGCTGAAGCTAACCTGCCCATCAGAGGGCACCAGTGTCCTAGCTGTCTCGCTTTTGTCGCTGGCTTCGCACCAAGGTCCACCAGAAGAGCTGCTGGTTGATGGCTTCAAGACTTTCTCACTCCTTGCAGATTTCAAGTGCCCAGTCAAGAGCTTTACCAAGAAGATGAAACGGAGTGATCTGCTGGTTTACCCAGCGAATCCCCAAGACATGCCAGAGGCGCTTTTTAAAGCAGCGTACGCCCCTGGCGAACCACCTGTTGAGTGCCCCATGGATTGCGGCGCGCTTGCGGTGTTGTGCGAGGACTTGCCAGCTAGAAAGAGCAATGTGAAGGTTTCAGGTGCACGAGTACGCGCCAGCTTTCGCCGAGATGATCCCATCACTGGCATGCTGGGAGCACAAAATCTTTTGGAACAACTTGCCAGCTTGATGAATGGACAGCCCCGTCAACTACCCTTGACCATGCTGGGGCCGAGGAAAAGAAACCTATTGGCCATTGGCAATGAAGGTGGCCAAGACCCGGGCCAAGAGCCTGCAGCAAAGGGTAGCCCTACTCCAGAGCCATCCCCAGCAAGAACGCCCTTGGCCCTGCCAGCTCCACCAACTGAGCAAAAGCCAGTGGCCGAGGTCAAGGATGTGGATGAAATGGCTGAGCTCCTCACCCAACAGCTTACCCACAACAAAAGCAATGCTGCAAAACGACCTTCAGAGCATGCTGAAGAAGAACCCAACAAAGCTCCTAAGACCGAGAAACCTAAAGCAAAAGGAAAGGCAAAGGCCGACAAAAAGACAAAGGGAAACAATGCCGAGAAGGGATCCAAAACGAAGGGGAAGGAAGCGTTGGGGTTTCCAGGCACCGACCCTCAAGCTCCAATCCACCATGGGGGGTGGACCATCTACATTTGCCCTAAGTCGTCCAACTTCCGCGTCAAGAAGGATGGCGACAAGAAGGACAAAGCTTTTTCTTGGAAGACTTCTGACCCCAGCAAAGCTTGGGATCGAGTCAAAGAGTTTCTGAAAGCATAGGAATGCAGAGGCTCGCCCTGCGCAGCTCAAGGTTCCAAAGTTGTGGCCGCACACTTCGGGGGACGTGCGCGGAAAAAGATCTGAGCTGCCACACTGGAGGATTTGAAATTGTGAATCATTGTTTTTCTTTCAGGGCGCTGGGCGCTCCCAAAATATACGGGCAGCATGGGCGAGCCTCACGCGCAGAATGTTCCGGTTGTTTTTTTAAACCAGAAATAGTTAGGTGTGAAAATTTTCGGTTGGGTGACGGGAACGGTGACGGTGGTGTGAAAATTGCGCAGCTTAATTTTGGATCAGGAAACGGGGTTTTCAAAAACAGGGCAACGTGGGGAACTTATAAGTTTTCTAAGTTAGATTGAAAATAGCGATGTGTAAAGAGCCCTAAGTTAGATATATCCTGCAGGTATAAGTCCATAAGCTCCAAAACCGCCTAAGTTGGAGACTTTCTTTGGGGACGACTGGGAGGCCTGTGACGATGAGGAGTACGATTGGCAGGAAGAAGTCTATGAGGCTGAAGCTGCTGATGATGATGATGATGGTGATGATGATGATGATGATGTTGATGAATGGTCTTGGGAGAGCTTTGGAATATCGAAGTTCCCATGGATGAAAGTGTGGCAGACAATGATGAAGCTTGGCTGGAATTGAAAGACCACGAAGATCCATGAAGTCTTTGCTGCCCAAATCGTTGAGAAAGCCATCAAAGACAAAGAGCTTCTCTACTTCGAGCTCTATGTGGATGGAGGAACCCGGCAATGGCGTTGGCCAAGAGACCAAATGCGACAGTGGCCACCTTCTCACTCCCAGAGTGGGATTTTGGAAAAAGAGGACGTGAGGAGCTTCTTGGCACTACTGCGTTCGGAACGGCCTCACTTTGTCTGGCTCGCGCCTCCATGCACCAAATGGAGCACGATGCAGAACTTTGCCGCTCGAACACCACAGGCCAAGAAACAACTAGAAGAAGATTGGAAGAGGACATTGCCTGGAGCAACACATTGGGCAGCTTCTGGAACACTAATGCCCTCAGCAACATGAATGACAACCTGGTGGACGCAGTTTGTGATCGATGCCGTACTGGCCTGGCCCTCTGGACAATGTCTACGGCCACTTGCAGCTTCTGCGAGTATGCCAACCGTCCAGGACTTTGAGCGTCAACAAGACTCTCAGGTTTGCCACAGACATGGTGAAAAAATCAAAAGCGTGACGTTTCCTGGAGCGCGCGACCTGATGGATCTTCGCAGGGTGGCTACTTGATCTTTGTCGCCGCCGCTTCTGAGCTCGACAGCGAGAAACCTTTCTCCTGCTGAGGATCGTTGAGTGGCAGTCGAGAAAGTTGCCTCCGCAGCCGGTGCAGTTGATGAGGCCGAATGGGTCAAAGTGTTTGCAGCAACCATGGTTCAGCTCTTCATTGAGATCGAGAAGGATGACGCTCTCCGTTTGTTTGGTGAGACACCCTTGATCACCGGCGCCAAGAGCCTGTTCGACTCAGCCAAGTCCGTCTTGTCAGGGCTCCGACTCACGGAGAAAAGGACGGCCACGGGTTGACGAAGCCATCCGCCCGAAGCGTGGAGTTAACGCCAGTTGAAGTACGATCCATCGCGCGCCGCAGCCAAAAAGGTGACCAAGAGTGACAAGGAGAAGGAGCTTGCCTAACATGAAGATTTAAGCTGCGCGCTATATACCTCTTTGGACGGGCAGCCCTGTTTGGACAATGTCAGTTGCCTGGATGTGAGAAGAGCGTGGCAGTTCTGAATGTCAAGGAGACGAAGTACTGCAGCAGGAGACACTACTACAAGCGCTTTCATCGAGCGCAACTCCGACAGGATGTTTGGATGAAGTCTGCAAAAGCGGCCATGACGGCGTTGGCACTTGAATCGACGCCCGGAGCGAACGCTGCAAGGGATGGGGTGACCACCACAGGTGATGATGTCGACTGGACCTTCGTCTACACGGTTGCTGTGCTGATTTGTTTTCGTTCTTTTGCGTGTACAAGTTCATGCGCCAGGTCTTTTGTTTGTGGAGAGCTTTGTTTGGATTGAGCACACCGCGGACGCCTGTGAAGAGAGGAACTCCTCGTCGTCAGGTCCGGTCGCAGCCGTATATATTTGCAAGAGCCATGACGTGTTTGCGAATAACGTGGAGCCCGAGAATGCCGAGGACAAGAGCTCAGACAGTTCCACGGAATCCAACGTGGGACGCAATGAGTGGGATCGCTGGTTCGCGCTCAAAGTTGAAGTTGAGCAAGAGGAAATAGCAAAAGAAATGGCGAAAGATCAAGGAGAGGGTGGACGACCCCAATGACACTCGCATCGACTCCACGAGGTCTTTAAAATTTCATCGCGAGCGAAGACCAGCCTGCCGCCCGCTGCTTGAGATGCAAAGAGCTCATGGCAGCCCGAGTGACTTCAGTCACCGCCAGGTCACGCAGTGCAGTGGATTCGCTTCATGAATGACTACCTCGTCCTCATGAGCGAGTTGAACTACAAGGTCAGACAGCTGACTGAGGAAAACAAGAAGACCAGGAAGTCGCATGCTCAGCGATGCCTGGATCGGGAACTGCAGGATCGTCAGAGCCAAACACCGACTCACTACAATAGGACAACGACGCCAGCTCGCTACGCACGGCATGCCTTGGAATCAGCGTGACGCATATTTCTACCCACACAGGGGTTAGTTATCCCAAAAGAGCTGTGAGTTCGGTTGCGATAGAATGGACGGGCCACCTTTTGCCTTTTGAATTTTTCCAACCAAGAGTTCAAACGCAAGAACTCTTCTTTTCCCGTATTGATGCTCTCACGAGACATCGTGCATTTCATTTCAGGTCCGTTCACTTTGTTCCAGGTCATGTTTGCTTCCGGCTCAAGAAGGTGGGCCCTTGAGACTAGGCAAGGCTGCGACTTCGACCTCTCGCGAGGAAACCGCGCAGCGCCTCGCGCTTTTCTAGTAGGCAAAAGAAGCTACCTCGATAGTGTGGAGTTTTCGATGATGATCTATGTTGTGGTGCCTTTTGAGTCTGGTGGCTTCTGATGCTTGGGGGGAGAATGCCGCGCCCTCCCCCCAACCCCCCTCCAGCGCCACAAAATTTGTTCTATGATTCTATGTTTGCCAATGCGCTGCGCCTGCCGCTGCAGGGTTTTTAAGTGTCACCCATCGCGCGCTCACATAAGATATTGCGCGCGCTCGCATAAGTCTTTTGAACTTTTGGACTATGTGTTAGTTTCAAACATCCTTTCATTGTCCTCTGATGGATGATAGGGCTTACCTTTGCTGCCTCCAACGTTTCTATGTTTTCGTTCTCTTTTGCTTTCTTCGTTTGGTGGCTTGGTTTGCTCTGCGGGGGGCTACCAGAGCCTTTTGCCGCCTGCCCTGCTCTTGCTGATTGTTTTTTGGTTCCCATTTCCTTTTTCCTTTAGATCACCGTCAAATATGTTTTATTTGGTTTTTTTGTCCCTCATCCTAGTTTGGAGACAGAGGTCCGGGTGGGTAGATAGGGTGAGATCGGTCTTGGACCTTCTCAGAAAGCAAACTTGAGCTGATGAGAAGGCATAGCGCCGGTTCACCATCAAAATGATTGTGAGACCATAGACAAGAGACGAAAGCCGGGAGGAAATGAACAAGGAAAATTTGGAAGACTTTGCATGTCTTTTGAAGCATTGAAGCGATTTGACACGCAGTTTCCTAGAAATTTGAACCTAGTAGAAAATGACAATTGGATTCCTGAGCAGGCTTAGAAAATGGTTTCTGGGCTGTCCACCCATGTAAATGTCAATGTTCTCCTAGAAAATGAGATATGGAACATTTTCTTGCTGAACATTTCAAGCTGAACTTAGGTAGAGAGTTTTCAGGGGAACTATTTTGGACGGTGCCAGGATTGGCTTGCGATCCACCCAACCTAAAATCCTACTAGAGAATCTGACGGCCCAAGTTCTCCTTGGAATGGGGATGCTCCTCTCATGATTCTGGTTGCTCGCCTTGGGCAGAAGGCCAATCTAAAGCTTGGTCCTGAAAGGGACGACGACGTGTTCAATCATTGTTTCTCAAGCATCATTTTTGGGAATGTTCGACGTGATTGGAGTTCTTGCATCTCCTTGCATCATGCGCAATCTCCTGGAGAATTTCCGAGATTCAGGGAACTTTCACATTTTGTAGTCGTTCATTTCAATGTTCCACTGGCTTGGCAAATTGCTTCACGAGGGGTTTCGTGGAGCGTGCGTCATCGTTCCAGCTCGGCTTGTCGGCGCAGTTGCTTCAGGAGGAGGTCTCATGGAGCGTGCGCCGTGTAATTTATTCAACACTGGTTGCACTGTTGCCTCGTGAGGGGTCGCATGGAGCGGCGTACGCAACTCGATTAGCTCGGCTGCTTCGTGAGGGGGACTCGTGGAGCGAGCGTCAGCCAAGTTCGACCTGCTTTGCGCTAGGAGTGTCATGGAGCGTGCGCTCTGTAATTAAACACGGTTTTGTTTGCACTGTTGCTTCATGAGGGGCCTCTGATTAGCTCGGTTGTTTCATGAGGGGACTCATGGAGCGAGCGTCATGGTTCCAGTTCGGCTTGGTCGGCGCTGTTGCTTCAGGAGGGGGTCTCATGAAGCGTGCGTCGTGTAATTCATTCTCACACTGGTTGCACTGTTGCTTCATGAGGGGTCTCATGGAGCGGTATATTCAACTTGATTGGCTCGGCTGCTTCATGAGGGGGACTCGTGGAGCGAGCGTCAGTCAAGTTCGACCTGCTTTGCGCTGTTGCCTCATGAGGAGTGTCATGGAGCGTGCGCTCTGTAATTAAACACGGTTTTGTTGGCACTGTTGCTTCGTGAGGGGCCTCATGGAGGTTAATTGGACTGGATTAGCTCGGTTGTTTCTTGAGGGGCCTCATGGAGCGAGCGTCATGCATGGTTCCAGTTCGGCTTGGTCGGCGCTGTTGCTTCAGGAGGGGGT